CCTCCTCTTCTATCTCTAGCTCTTCTTTGTAGAGTTAATGAGCATTCCTTAAATTTTTACATAGAGTTTTGTGTACTGCAGAATGCGAGTGGTTATCTGTATGTCCGACAGATGGCGCCAGCACCAATCACTGAAATTACTGAAGTCAGCTCTCGTTTGGCGGTTGCTTGCTCCTTTTTTATTCGATATTTGTACGGATCTAGTTCCGCCTTTCCACATAAGCCCCACCTACTTCGCCTTGATGTGAAACAATGTATTTCGCGATCTCGGCTCAGGCAAACTCGACAAGTTCGCAACAAGGGGTGCCCGCGTTTGATCGCTAACCTGGCGTAATATTATAGGATGATGTGAAGTTTTTTCACAAAGAAAAGAGGAAGAGAGAGAGCATGTCCTCCATTTACCACCACCCCCCCGCACACATTTGCCGGTCGCAATTTCTCAACAGTTCTGCATCAATTTCAGAAACAGCCCGGGTGACGCTCAAAAAAGCGGAATTCCGTGAAAATGCGGAAAACGTTCATGCCTGTATTAAGATTTTTTTTTTTGTAAATTTTGATACCCTTTAGATCATAATTGCTCTTTATTTCATAAATTACAGTTTCATATTTTTAATTGTATAATTTCTGTATGCCATCTTACCAGATTTAAAATGATGATCTATAATCTGGAAAAACCCCTAATCCGGAATCGCCGAAGTCCGACAAGTCCGGATTATGGACTTTGTACTGTATACGATTTTATGTCAAGAGATGGGCAGTTAATATGAAAGTTTTGTTACAGTTCGAAGTAAGACAGTTATCCGGAGACAAAATTTTAAATCATCCTTTTGAACTTTGAGCAGAAATTCAAATTTTCCTCTGTGATTCAAAATTTGAATTGCAAACTTGCTTATTTAACATGCAAGCACATGCGGCGGGTATGTCATACCCATGTGCATATTTTTCGCCCATTCTTTCATGAAAGGACGATACTTGATGTAGCTAAGTTCAAGGTCACATACTTAAATGGGGGAAATTCCTGAGGTGGCAGGTGCAAGGGTTTTTTAGGAACAGCATTGTTCGGCATGTCGTACCCGCGCATGTACTCGCATTTCTCAGTGAGTCACTTCGCACTTCTTGTTTTCAAACTTTTAGTATAGGTTTTTCTTGAGTTGTAAGCATGGCGCCATATATTACTTACGATGAAGAGATGAAAAGATTGAAAAATCTCGAGGATTCACTTAGTAAAAAAGAGGAAGATGTTGATGATGAAGAATATAATAGAATCATGATTCATCTACCGAGAGTAGCGATTCAGATACAGAAACAAAAAATGAAACTCTGGAATGTAGCTATGAGTTTTAATGTTAGAAAAAATGGAGTGAAATGAAACAAAAATAAATTCCGGAGTAATGTTAGAATTGGCACCAAAAATAATCTAAACTCCCTGGAAGTACAAAAGTATTCTAAAGTCGTCTCAACACCTTTAGATTCCTGGTCATTGCTTATCAATGAAGATAGGTTAAAACATGTAGTTGACAATACAAATATTTATATTGAATCAATACAAGAAAATTTCACTCGTGAATGGAATGCAAAAGTGACAAGTGAGTTGGAAATCTTTAATTAGATTGCTGTATTTATGTGGCGTTTATAAATCATCCCATGTGAACATAAGAGATTTGTGGGCAGCAGACAGAATGGGAATATTTCGGGAAACAATGTCAGTAAACCAATTTCTTTCTTTTACGATGTCTCTGTTTTGATGACATTAGAAATCGCCCCAGCAGAAAAGATATGGACAAATTAGCTCTGATCAGAGAACTTTTTGAAACTTTTGTCACAATGGACCACCACCCAAAAAAAAAAAAAAAAAAAAAAAATCTAAAAAACCTAAAATGACTTATAAGAAGTGTACAAGGTGCCCCAAGAAAATAGATAGAAAGACTAGATTCATTTGTGAAAATTGTAGCAAAAGTATATATATGTATAGAACATATGACCTCATTTTGTAAACAATGTTCAAAAAACTGTAAGTAAATAATTTTTCCTCTCCTTATTGTTTCATATTTTGTCTAAAATGAAGTATTAACTTGGTTTTGCATTTTAACTTCTTTTAAAAACCAATTAATTTTATTCAGTAAATTTTTAATTACAATTTTTTTATTCGGGTATGACATACCCAGCGCGTGTTCTCGTGTTCGTTGGATCAGTGCATGTACTCCCGGGTTAATGAATTACGGTTGTAGTGTTTGACATATTTAGCTGATATTTTTGGGAAGTTAAATGAATTAAATCTAGGATTACAAGGATTAAAGTGTTAATTTTTTATTTTTTAAGATAAAATAAATGCAATGATACAAAAACTCGAGCTCATTATCAAAGAATTAGATAATAATATTTTAAGCTTTTTACTGCTTTAAGAAAGTTTCTAACTAATTTGAAAATAAAAGAATCAGCATCCAACATTAAAAATCATTGTTTTCCATTGATAAATAATTTCAACATGTATTTTCCCGAGAATTATGGGTGGTGAAAAATTGGATTAGCATTCAGTTTTGTTCAAATGCATCTGAAAGTTTATCACGTGAAGAAAAAACAATTGATAGAAGTTTCTGGTCATCGAACTCTAAGATAAGATATCCAAAATACACACTTGTTAACTTTTGGCTGAACCAAAAAAAAAAAAAAAAAAAGAATTTAAAGGCATTTTAAATAAAGCTATTAAATTTTGATATATCTGGAAAAGAAATACAGAACAAAATTAAAAGTGGATCTTAATTTAGGGTTAACACTAAGTGAATAAGACCGGACATAAAGTAACATAAAGTAAGCCAATGCCTAGAGTATCCAGCAAATGACACATTTTTTTATCAGTAGAGAGGTAATTAAGTTTGCAGAGGTGTTAACAGGATTCTCATCAAATATTTTCCCATAATCAGCCAACCGAAAAGCATTCCATATGCGACTAAGCCGCAACTCAGATAATGAGTTTTTACCATAAACAAATGACCACAAAAGTCAACTCCAATCAATTAATGTAACTTCAATTAATGTAATCCAAGAAAAGTCAATGGAACCTTGTTATATTATGCAATAATGTTTTAATGTATCTTTGTTATGTAATAATGTAAAACAATCTGTAAGCACATTATTTCATACACCACACGAACTTCAAATAAAAAAAAATCATGAAATGTTAATCTTCAAAGTGCATCTCAGGATGCAAAACAGACCAACATGTTTCACTGCACTTCCAGCCATATTTCTCAGTCGAGTCCCTAGAAGCTAAAAAAATGACATGTAGTTGAAAGAACATAAACTTATTTTATGTGGCAAGAAGTTTGCTACAGTTAATTGTTAACAGTCTAACCTGATAGTAATTGTTAATGACACTAAATATCATTTTTGAATGTAAATAATTAGGAACACATAATGATAATTCATTGCTTTTCATCAGACTGCCAACCCCTCTTCAAATACTTAGCATCTACAAATCAATGCCAATCAGAAGATATTTCTTGACACTGTACACAATTATTTACACGGCCTATGACCCAATTCCAGTCCTCTAGATTCTCCAAGGGAATGTTGCTTCAAAGAATAAATATAATAACAGAAGACTTTTTTTGTCTTAGAATATTTATATGATATTTACATGAATAGAAACTTATAGTAAATTATAATAAAAATTCTTCTCCCAATTCTCGATGTTAAATTATGTATGGGTGATAAAGGCTGTTTACCTTTGACCTAACTTGCATTTTGTTTTTCAGTATGGTTAAACATTTAACACAACAAGCTTTCGTAATGTCACTAAAATTATGTACCTCACTAATAATTTTAAGAAGTTCACATATATAAAAATCCATACATATATACATAATATACATTGACATTGAGAACAAACAGAAAAATCCAGTGCTTTCAAGTTATATACCTTCATGATATTTATGGCCTGTTCCCAATAATGTTTTAATTAACTTGTAAGTAGCCAATTTTACATACAGTAGATGCCACTTGATGTGATCATGGTTAATATTATCATTCTAATATCATTATCATATTCATAAAGTTCTGCCTGTTTGTATAGGAAAACATCAAAATATATTGCTTATTGTGATCAACAATTGAGTTAATATTATCACACTTTATTAAACCATTTTTAACTGAAGTAAACCCACCAACTAAGAGATAAAAGAGTTCAAAATAGATTACGCTAAATACAAGGTTGTTTTTTACGATTTTGATTGTCACATTAGCGTGTTTCTCTTCTAGTTTAACCCAAATAAGTTCAAAATAGATTATAAAAATTGCCATATATCAGAAAAATGTAGCCAGATAAGGGGTTATGTCACCTGACAACTGGTTTTCAATCTTAGCCAACCATTTAAAATTAGGCAAAAAGGCAACTTTGGTTTAGATTTTCAATAACTATCAATTTTGAGAAAGATCAAACACAGGTCCCTCTTTTTCAGAAGCAAAAAAATAAAATTCTGCAATATCCCCCCCCCGATCCTTTAAAAAGAAAAAAATCTGAAAATATCTCGGCCAAATTAAGGCTGCTTTTTTGCCTAACCTTAAAGTTTACATTTCCATGTGACTAAGGGATGCCCTCCAAGTATTAAGATTAGGGATATAGCATCAGTCAATTAATTTCCAGAAATACTATGAAGATTCGACATTATAAACAGTTCCTAAACAAATTTTAGCATTTTCTTAATGGAAATTCTGTCAAAGTATTTATTTATGTTTCTTCTTGTAATTATTTTAAATTCTGTTACTATTTGGAAGGATACATTTTCTCCTTGCTTAATGATACTTATCTAATTAATGTCATCAAAATTGCCTTGTACAAACATGATCACATTAAGCGGCACCTACAATAGTAACATATTCATGGCTTTTAAGCCCTATCTTTAAAAACTAATTCTGCACAAATACTGTATCATAATGACATTTTCACAACTCATCACTGGAAAAATGAAACAAGTTATTACATAGAAAATAATCATTTCTTACCAACTGAACTTCACCAAATGCTCCTCTGCCAATAGTTTTTATAACAGTAAAATCCTCAGGTTTCATACGACATGTAACAATAACATTAGCAGATCTTTCATCTGAGGAAAATATAACTATTATTTTTTTTCATATATACAACAATTAAAAATTTTTTACGAAATTAAACAGAACAGACTGAGTAATGGCACTGAATGAAAATTTTAACACTTTGTTTGATATAGTTTAACCACTTTAATAAAATTTCTAACAAATTAAGTGCTATTTCAAAGTAAGATATTGACACCACCACTTTAAAGAACCAGTACTATAGAAATCACTCAAATAATAAAACAAACAACTACAGCTCAGCTCATTGAAAATAATACTGAAAATTTATCAGATATTTTTGTTGTACAGATGCAGATGATTTAGTCATGGCACTACCTAAATGCACATCAAATATGCAAACAGTGATACTAAATTTCCATTTCAGACTGTTGATGATATTTTGAATTATATTACTATAATGGATTATGGATATTTCTCTAGATAAAATCTGTGCTGTCTGAGATCCGTATTCTCTCAATCCTATATAAAATACATGAATCAGAACCCTACTTAAGATCTTTCTAGATAGGTTCAATGCTGAAGATGAGCATAACTTTTATTCATTTTAGCTTTCCACAATGAATGACGAAACCTGCCTCCTCGGCTGAGCCGAGGCTTGCAAATCCTTCAGGTGAATCAATTAATTTATTCCAGCTGAACCTCTTCCTCCTGCTTAGCACCAAGTAGAGTGAACAGGATACAAACCCACACTTTCACTCAGTTACAGGAACAGTTAGAAAGTTAAATTTAGTTAATTATTCAGAATAAGATAATTTCAGCATTACAGACTACCAATTCTAATTAAATTTATTGTAATCTTGTTCTATAATTTTTACATGCAATCATCATTAAAATAATGATACATAAAAGGGCTGGTCTGACACTAAGTATCAAATAAGCTCGTACATATTCGTGTATAGCACAAAAACAAAAAAGGTCAGTGCAGTTTACTTTATTGCCTGACCACAATTATAGTGTGAAATAAAAATATTTTGAATAAATCATTATCACTAATACACTCTTATTGCACAACTCAAACATTGTGTATTTCAGACATTAACATTTTCCCAAGATTTCTGCTGCAATATATAAACATGTAATGCAGCAAAGCTTTGATGCTTTACATGGATACTAATGCAATAATTTATAACTTTATAAAATTTTAATAATAATACTTCACTGCGTAGAATACTACTTCACTGCGTACAGATATTTTTTATTTCAACAGTCCCTATTCCTCTGAATGGCTGAAGTACTATAAATTGAGAATTATTTCAGGAAACATACACAGAATTTTCATTCTTCGTAAACACAAATAACATTGGATTTTTTAATTATACAGGGTGAATCTGAAAAAGTGTGCAAAACTTAACAGGATGAGAGAATGCAGCAATATTCATCAAAGAATCTATGGTCAGAACAAAAGCGGTGAGAAGTTAAAAGCTAGTTTTCCACTGTCACATTTTAAGAGTGAATGAGAATGAGAAGGAACAAAAGAATGAGAGGAGATATTTCAGAAAACATTTAATTAGCAGGAATGTAATTGATGTACATGCTCAAAGAAATTGCTCAAAAGACCTTTTGCCAGCTATAATGCAGGCTTCATACCTCCAGGATAGGAACTGACGCACATTTACCAAAATACATTTTCCCCCGAGTGCCCCCGGCAACAATGGCAATATTGACAACTAGACACATATTAGTTTCAACAGGGCACTCATAGATTAGGCTTTTCATATAGCCACACAGGAGAAAGTTTCACAAATGAGAGATCCCATTATCTTGGTAGCCAAACTATGGGACTACCTCAACCAATCCATCACCCTGGAAATGTCATGGTTCATATAACCAGCCATATTCTCGGCAGTCCACGGCAGAAAAGGCCACTGGGTGCCAGGACCAACCCTTTTTGTACCATTTTACAATGGAAACTAGCGGCTCGGCATTTGCATTTCGCCCAAACTTTCTATGACGAATATTGCTTGTACAGAGGTTTTCTATCATCCCCTAAAGTTTTGCCCACTTTAGAGATTCACCCTGGATAACAAAACAAGTCAGGCAATCTCAGGTAAATTATTAAAATAATTTGAAAGGAATTAAATCGAGTGTTCAGTGAGATTACATTAACTACAAGCTTCTTATATTTACTAGTCAGGATTGATAGGATTTAATACTTGGGATGGCTCAGGGCTGTTGTAAATGAAAAAACCACAACCAGATTTCTACTGGTTGTGGAAGAAAACAAGCTCCAAGGTTTATGCAAACTCAGTGACAGTCGTTTATGCAAATTCAGTATACAACCATAGTATTTCTTTTGATCAATGACCATTAAATACTGAATACTCCTGACATCAAGTTAATCATGAAACCCAAAGAGTTAAGGTTACTGTAACGTTACACGTTCAAAGTTAAAAATTCTTCAGAGGTTGCAATTAATAACATTAATAAAGCATTCAGCAGAGGAACATTTAATGAGAAATCCACTCACCGCTGTTTTATAAAATTTTGCTCTCGATATTTTAAGTTACAAAACAAATCCTGCGGCCATTTCCCTTTTTTCATCAATTCCGGTACTAGTGAAAAAATCAGCCAATCAAAACAGTTGAAGAGAATCCTGCCAAACATACACCAGTCATTGCAGCAGCTAAAAATTTCTAATTGCATTCAAGATAGAAACAAATGTATCCTCTGTGTGAAGTCAACACCAAATAAATTTATCCACATACAAATCTAAGTGGTGGTGTGGGGCTCCCATTTGTGGGGTTTTTTTGGGGGGGTATGCCATTTCTTGAAACCCCAGACTCGTTCGATGTTTTGGGTATGCACACCTGTAGCTGGATCAACAAAATTATGTCAGTAGTTAACTTTGGGATGTTTAAATCTTCCAGCTGTTAATTTGCCTTATAACCATCCCATGACTCAAAATAAACCGTAGATGCTTCTTTATTTTATTTTTTTGCAAAATGATAGTAATGTTCCTCATCAGAATCTCTTACGATAACACATTAATTGTTTAGGCAATATTCCACCTGCTTGGTTTTTCCATTTTCTAAAAAGGATTTCATTGGTTTTAACAATGTGGTTAAGCCCTTCAATTTTTTTTTTTTTTTCCTTTGGTCTGTGTGTGCAAACTACTCTTAGATAATTGCTCCAATAAATAACTGTCTTAGCACTTTAATTATTCATTTCCCATTCAACAGTCATTAATTCATCGCACCCGCTACAGATGAACCTGAGTGCAGTCAAAATGGAAATAGTAGAACCTACGAACCATGTATTTTCTGAATTGATACTCAATTTTCGCAAGTCTTAACACTGCAATGCCACTACTTGTCTGTTTCCAAGAAAAGTTCCATACTGTGCCAATTAACACACTTCCTGGACGCCAGTAGGATTCCAAATGTTTTAAAATTCTCTAATAAATACTGTTCTGTGGTAGCAGGTCCTAAATTTTAATCATTTTCCCCCAAAATAAGAGCATCAACATCAAAACAAAGGGGAAAAAAGGGCTCATAAAACTTTTGTTTACAGAACACATTACACTATACCAAGTGTTTTTGAAGGCAGGCTTTTCCAGGTGTTGTCCTTTTGGGGGGGGGCAAATATAGTCAATGGGATTTTCCATTTGCACTGAATTTAAGGATGAATCAAAGCAAATCTACAAAAACTTGCATGCGAAATTTCCCAGTGCAAGAGATCAATATTTATGTACACTTCTCAATTGTTTCAGGGCTCTTAGCAGCAACAGAAGCAGTAAGGAAGTTTGACAAGTGGATGACTCGCAAACATGCTGATGAAAACAAAGCATTCAGATGTGTGCTTTTCCCTCTTTAACAAGATAGGTTCCTTCAACAAACTGCGACTGTGAGTGAAAAGTGGATATTCCGTGACAACTCTACATGTTTCTTGCAATGACTAGGAGTAAAAGACACATTAGGAAGAGCTCCAAAGTTGCCTTCGCATTCAAAGAACATGTTTACAGTATGGTGGTATTCAACTCATTCCTTCCACAAGTTTAAAATGATATATGCCACTTAAAATTGTTCAGATATGCAGCAAATGCAAGATAACTGTGCCTTTAAGCAATTGGCATGTATGAGTAGAGCAGGGGTTCTCAACCGGTGGTACCCAATAGAAAAATAGGTGGTATGCAAAGAAACAAAGTACTTTTAACTATTAAATTTTAAAATTAACACCCCAACATCCTGACTTGAGTTTTTTTTTTTTTTTTTTCTAACACTCCTAAATTGATGCGATCTAATCTTTGTTCAAGAGTGGTGGTGGTACTTTGCAAAGGCGTACTAAAGATTTTCAATTTTTGTTTAGATGGTACGCATTAGTCAAAAGGTTGAGAACCGCAGGAATAGAGTTCTTTTATCCCATAATAATATCTGACCACAGCTAGCAGTTTAACTATACAACAAATCAACTATTTCAGACATGAAATTGTGCCTCTTTCTCAAAACACCCCCCTCACATTTCCTTAACATATTACCATTATTTTCCGGCACCCAAGCTGTTTTTGTCCAAGAAATGCTTTATCAATGATGCATTAGTTTATCAAGCAGAGGAGGACTTTATCTTTTCCAGGTACTAACTTTTACAAACGTGGTATAAATGACATCACCACATGCTGGCGACAATGCACTGATGCTTCTGTAGATTAATCTAACTGAGCAGGTATTCTTTTTATTAACTTTTCTCACAGCAAGCTTTAAAATTGGCCATTTCATTAGCAGCATCAAGTTCACAGTTTTATTTGGCTAAGCATTCAACTCCATATAAACAATATATATATGGTAATAATCAACTAAGATATTGAAACTTATTGTTGCATGCGTACAAGTTTATAATGCATTCTTAGACAAAAAAAAAAAAAAAAAAAAAAACGATGCACCGAAAAGATATAAAGCAAATTGGACACAAATTGATATCCATACATTTAGACTAGAAGAGAAACACGCCAATGTGACAATCAAAATCGTAAAAACAACCTTGTATTTAGCATAAG